TATATATATATATATATATATATATACACACACACACACACACATACACATTTGGGTCTTATTGAGCAGCTGAGCAATTTTTTATTCTTACTCTATGTAATTTCCCACTGGTTACAACAGTGACCAAGAATAAACCACATACTTTCACTAACATCCTTAAAACTTTTTAGGCATACAGTTTATTTCATTGGTTGATCCAAGGAGTAAAATACATATGCTCACCTAGCAGGTAATGACTGCTAACAAACTATTAAAAATATTTGTTGTTAATTAAGATCAGATTAAAATAAAAGATTAAAAATAAAATCTAGCAATTAGATAAAAAGCTTTAACTTAAATTAGAAATGTTGCCTTGGCAAGGGCTGCAAATGCAATACAGTAAGTGTAAATTTAAGTACTAAAACTGCTAAAATTAAATTTAAAAACTAAAAAAAAAAGACAAGAACGCACACACTGAAAATTTTAAAAATAGTATATATACACTGTGTGTGTATAAATATATATATATATATATATAAATATATAAAATACTGACTAATACTATATAATACTGACAGTCTTTACCTGCATTAATCTATGTTTCTTATGTCTGTGAACTAACCCAGTTCATTAAGCCACTGATCCAAGGACTGCTAAACAGTTGCCTTAGCATCTCTTGAAATTACTCTCCAAACTTGCTCCCCTGCACACTACTTTGTCTCCGAGATGAGCCTGTCAGCCTCTCCTGCAGTGTGTGTGCGTGATCTGCCCCAGGGTCAGAGTAAGCCCTTTTTCATTTCTGAATTTTAAATCTCAAACACCAACAAAAACATCATCTATGCTGAAACACACACACACTAAACCTCTCTGCCCCTCTCAAAAACTCATAAATACTTAAAAGAACTGGAAAAAATTAAATTCAGGAACGTCTGGATATTGCTTTTGAGTGCCAGCGAGAAATATTCACTGGTGTGTGTGTATATATATATATACACACACACACACACACATACACATTTGGGTCTTATTGAGCAGCTGAGCAATTTTTTATTCTTACTCTATGTAATTTCCCACTGGTTACAACAGTGACCAAGAATAAACCACATACTTTCACTAACATCCTTAAAACTTTTTAGGCATACAGTTTATTTCATTGGTTGATCCAAGGAGTAAAATACATATGCTCACCTAGCAGGTAATGACTGCTAACAAACTATTAAAAATATTTGTTGTTAATTAAGATCAGATTAAAATAAAAGATTAAAAATAAAATCTAGCAATTAGATAAAAAGCTTTAACTTAAATTAGAAATGTTGCCTTGGCAAGGGCTGCAAATGCAATACAGTAAGTGTAAATTTAAGTACTAAAACTGCTAAAATTAAACAAATAAAAATATTGTTGTAGAAACATTTAAAAACTAAAAAAAAAGACAAGAACGCACACACTGAAAATTTTAAAAATAGTATATATACACTGTGTGTGTATAAATATATATATATATATATATATAAATATATAAAATACTGACTAATACTATATAATACTGACAGTCTTTACCTGCATTAATCTATGTTTCTCTTATGTCTGTGAACTAACCCAGTTCATTAAGCCACTGATCCAAGGACTGCTAAACAGTTGCCTTAGCATCTCTTGAAATTACTCTCCAAACTTGCTCCCCTGCACACTACTTTGTCTCCGAGATGAGCCTGTCAGCCTCTCCTGCAGTGTGTGTGCGTGATCTGCCCCAGGGTCAGAGTAAGCCCTTTTTCATTTCTGAATTTTAAATCTCAAACACCAACAAAAACATCATCTATGCTGAAACACACACACACTAAACCTCTCTGCCCCTCTCAAAAACTCATAAATACTTAAAAGAACTGGAAAAAATTAAATTCAGGAACGTCTGGATATTGCTTTTGAGTGCCAGCGAGAAATATTCACTGGGTTTTATCTTATTGTTTATGTGTGAAAGAGAAAGCACAAGAAGAAAATAAAAAAGTGAGAAAAAAGAAAGTGTGTGTATCCATGTGTGTAATTAGCACATCTGTTGCTAGGTTCCAGGTGAGAGTGGCACCTTCAAACATCTGGAGGAAGGACTGCTCCAGTCCAGTGCTCTCTGCCTCTTTCTTTCTATCTCCATCTTTATCTTTATCTTTTCATTATTATCCTCCTAGCTCCTTAAAATCTGAAATATAAGCCAACACATTTTTAAAAATGAAAAAAGTAGTTGTTTCAGTAGCTATAGGAATTTTATGGAATTGTCAGGGAAACGCACACGGGACAGACCGGCAAGTTTTCAAAACATCCAAAGCACTTTATTCATAGAACTGAATGAAATCACAGGCAGCGAGAGGATATTACAGAGATGGGAGATGAATGGTGAGTAGCCACACACACTATTAAACAGTCACTAAGAGATAATAAACACTTCCCTGTTGTCTTGTAGGATGATCACCGGGAAACTGGAAGGAGAATAGTTGGAGAATGGAAACAGGGATGAGGAGAGGATAAAGGAGGTAAGCATTCTTCAGGTAAGTAACAATCCAAACAGATGCAGTCTTTGCCATAGATGAGACCAGACAAAGTGTGTGTGTGGCAAGTCCTTATATATGGTGCTGAGTGATTGGTGACAGCTGGTGATAATTAGTACTACAGATTGAGAGTGATGATACTGTGTCAGGGTGGAGAGCCTGATGATTCCTGATGACCCCGGCGTCGAGGTGGACGACCTCTGTTGCGTGGTGCAGGTTTCTCCGGGTGAACATTGTGGAAAGCAGTCAGTAGATCAGGGTCCAGTATGTAAGGCACCGGGAGCTTATGATTACTCATACCATGAAGACTCCTCCATCCTCTTCGACTGGCGGTAAGGAAGGTACATCACCAGGCTCTATGGAGGAAAGGGACACAGGTGAGTAATAAGGTTAAGAAACATGGAACACTGGGTATATGCGTTAGTGTTCAGGGAGTTTTAACTGGAAGGATACTGGATTGATCTCCTTAATGATCTCAAAGGGGCCAATGTATCCGAGACTCAGCTTCTCGCATGGCAAGAGCAACCTGATGTTCCTGGTTGAAAGCCATACCTTTCGTCTGGGTTGATATCTGGGAGCTGTGGATCTATGGACGTTGGCATAGTGCTTTTGCCTCCGGTTGGCTCCTTGTAGATGATGATGAGCTGAGTTCCAAGCCCTTCACTCTCATGGAACCAGTGATTCACTGATAGTATGTCGGAAGGTTCCCCGGACCATACAGCTGCTGTGTTTCTAAACAACACCGATTTCTGAACAGCGTATAAACAACACAAAATAACAGACACAAAGGCAGAGACAAAAAGCGAAAAACCCTGTACACAGTCCTGTAAACAAACTAACACAAAAAATAAAGAAAATCAGACATGAATCCACTGGAAACTCCATATCTCTACCCGCTCATGACCTCTGACCTTTTAGAACAGCATATGGAGACGGTTGCTAGGATACACACATAAATAAAAGAATCGGTGTCAAAGGCGCCACATATTTAACGCTTCTTCATTAAAATGGTTACAATCCGGAAATCTGACATTTAAAGAGGTGCAAAAGAGGTTTTGTTCATTTGAAAAGGTTAAAAAGGAGGCAAATGTACAAAAACAGGATGAGCAGGGCAAGATCACAAGCTAATTTCCATACTAGATATGGAGGAACAAAGAAGACAATAAAAACCGAAATGTCTCGATTGTTTAGTCGTGTCGTACTGAGACTCTTTTCATGTTATCATCTTGATGTCCTCTCTCACACACATACACACCAAACGCACCCAACCATCTGTGCCTGGGCAGTAGAGTGTGTTGCGCACCATGTGTCCTACTGTTATGTGTCAAACGAGCATCGGCTGGCTCATATGGCACTCCCCCCGCGCACGTACACACACGCACACACACAGAGCAGTGACCTAGCCTCTTACACTCCAGTCTCTGAGTGTCTCAGCTCAACGGGAGCTCTTGATTCAAAGCCCAGAATTTTCAGAGACTCAAAGTTCTAGTTTGAGATCTCAAAACTCATCAGCGTCGTGCAGATTCTCCATCTTGGCAGCTGTTAGGGGCGGAGATGATATGCAAAGAGGCGGGGCTTCAGTGACACATCCAGTAATGGCTACAAGAGAACATGAGTAGTTAAAGACTTTCTACTATAATGATCAATAAAGTCAAACAATCTATCTATCTATTTAAAGAACGGTGTATGGCTGCGTTTCAAATGGAATTCTAACATACTGTATACTATTCAAATATATATATGCACAAATATGCATATGTATAGTACAATGCTAAATTTGTATCAGTTCAGAAAATTTCAGAGTCATCATCTGGAAATTTTTTTATTTTGCAGTTTTACTCCAGTTTTATTTAAGAAACTCAAATTACAAAAAAAAAAGAAAAAAAGAGAGTTGAGAGTTTCTTAATATTTGGGCTATTATTACTTGGAGTTTAATATGAATTAAAAATAATAAAATATATTTAATTATACATTAAATATATTAAATCTATTTCATCACATATATATACACACACACATATATATATATATATATATGTGTATGTGTGTGTGTGTGTGTATGTATGTATGTATGTATATATATATATATATATATATAAATAAAACACAAATAATAATATCCCTATTTTGTTTTAGAAATTGAACCTTTAGTAATTTGAAAAACTTACATTATCAAAAGTTGAGTTTCTTAAACATATGCATGTGTGTGTGTATATATATATATATATACAATTAAATTTTTTTAATTAATAAGTTACAATTTTAATTTGAATTTCATTTTTTTACTCTATCTCTCTCGCTTATTATATTATATATAATATATATTTAATTATTTTTAAGCTCACACTCTCCCTGCATTTGTATAATCACACATTGGAAAAAAATAATGGTATACATAAAAAAAAAAATTCTTACATATTTTATAGATAGATAGATGTAGTAGTGGTAGTATGGTATTCCAAATACAGCCTCTCTGTGTGTGTGCATTTATGCATGTTTAAGGGAGAAGGGAAGACAATCTTTTTATCTGAACTTTCACAGTGCTGTGGCCTGTCAATACAGGGGCAGCTGGTGTGTGTGATGAAAAATTCAGTGTGGGTAATCTGGGAGACAGGAACTCTCACGCACACACACACACACACACACACACACACACACACACACACACACACACACGGCAGGCAGCAGTGGGTCATGGGTTGTGTCTGTGTGTGAAAGAGCTCTAAAAATTTAATGAGGAGCATCAATTAATGACCTGCTATCTGTGACCCCATTTCCTTTCTCTCTTCTTTTCCATTGCACTTTTGGGATTTTCTCTTTTTGCTGGATTCCCAGGAGTCCGTCACTCTGACTGTGTGTTTTGTACCTAGATTTGTCGAGTTCTTTAAACATGTGACAACATCCAGTGGAATCGCTAGGTTTGCTGGGCCACCTGTACTCAGTCCCACCTTTTCCCCTACTAGCGACATCAAATACGAGTTTAACTGATAACTTTTACCTGATGTTTAAGAATTCATCTGATAAACCTTAGTTTTAAAAAAGCTCTGTTTCACAAAACTTCATCCAAACCTGTGCAAAGCAGGAAAACTGCTCATTTAGATTGTGTTCTACAACGTTTTTTTTTTTCAGAGGAACAGGTCAGTTTCAGGCTGATTGTCAGAGCTTGAAGGTCTTCACAGCGAATCAAGAGACTTCTTGCCTCTGGACACACCAATGAGCTGTCAGATTAGGCGGGACCACTGTGACCTCATAAAGAAAAGGCACTTGAGGAGTCTCTGCACTACTGGCACAGAAATAATTGTTTGTATTTGTGAGCCATTTGCCTCTTCAAAAATTGAAGAAAGTGTCGTCCTTTTTTCTCATGACAAAAATGGGCGCATTTTCTCAGGTGTGTGTATGCGGCTGAGTCGGACAACCTGGGAAGGGGAAGGTGGGACGTCCTGTCTTTGGGGCCCTTTGGAATCATGGGATTCGTAGTCCAACCGCATTGATGGGCCTCTTCCTTTCATTTCCTGCTCCCTGCGTCTCTGTTCTTGTCGCAGGAGCTCCTGGGCCTCCAGGAGGACACGTGCATTGTAGCCACCACCCACCGAGGAACCACCGGCTCCTGGGGGAGCAGAGAGGCCATTCCTGCAGCCAGGACGAGGAACGGTCCGCGGGACGGAACGAGGTCCCTGGTAGCTGGAGTAACGGCCACTGTCTTTGGCTGCCTGGAAACCATCTCTGGCTGGACACATTCTCTCCCACTCCCTCTCTGAGGCTGGGGTGGGTGTCTTACGAGGATGGCTACACACAGGGAGAAATGGGCAAGGTGAGATACTGTGTGTGCACATGACATTAAGACATTAATAGTTTGTTCCTATTGAAACAGGAAGTAGAGCTGAGACATATGAAAGATTTTTTTTACACCACAGTCCAAACCACACTTGACAGCTTTCAAAATGAATAAAATCCAGCCAATTCCTACTAAACCATAAGAAGGACTAATTTTAGTGGAAGAAAATATATGTATTTATTTACTGCCTATTTTGCTTAAAGAGAAAGGTTGGATTTTGGTGTACAAATTTAAACTACTATTCAAATATACACTTCTTTTCAAAAGAATGGGTTTGGTAAGATATTTTATGTTTTGTTTTTTTAACAGTGCAAAGATTGCATTTACACAATCAAAAATACAATAAAAAGGTAATATTGTAAAATATTAATACAATTTAAAAGAACTGTTTTATATTTTCATATATTTAAAAAATTTGATTTACTCTTGGCATTTACATTTTTTTCTGTTTTCTATTTTAATTCAGTTGTAGTAATTTTATTGTTGTCATTTTTATTAGCTTTTGTTTTATCTATATAGTACACAGATAATATATCTATATAGTTCTTATGACTTATTATTTCAGTTTTTAGTTATTTTAGTACTTCAACACGTACCGTGGCAGAGAGCTGTACTGTCTCTGAGCATGTGTGAAAGCTTCTCTGGCTTCCTGCCTCTGTAACTGCACCTCCACAGACACTGAGTGTCGGCCAGATGATGTCTGTGAGCTGCAGTTGGACTGTAACACAGTTATTAACATGTCCATTTAACACAAACAGGTAAAAGTTCAGTAGAGAAAAGCTTGAAAGAGACTGAGCTATGGAAAGATCATTAAGAACGAATAGACACACACACTCAATCTAAGCACTTACCAGGTTTCAGAGGTGTTTTTGAGTACAGGTCTGTGACATTTGTGCAGAAATGTGCGTTTGAATGTGACATTATTACCAGCCCTATGACCTTTGGCGCATTACTGCTGTTAATGAAACCATTAAAGTAGATTATAACCCATAAAATATTCATGGAGTTAGTTATTACTCTTAATAACAAAATTACAGCTACATTATGGTCCTCAATAATTATAATAAAAATTAGCACTCATTATTCAAATGACCACATCATTAAAAAGATATAATTCCCAAAAGCACAATATGCAAATGAAAACAAAAACTTAAGTATAAGCAAATATCGGATTTGTCTATTTAAAGTTAAAATTGAATTAGATAATTATATACTATATAAATGTACATACATTAAAAATATGTATAAAATTCGACGTAAAATATTTGATAATTATAAACCCTGATATATTTTTCATCTCCTGTGGTTCTAGTTTTTTCCCTCTAAGATCCAGTGATTTACAGTGCATTAAAGGTTTATGTTCATCAATTTTTATGACTCTTGGGAATCAAGCCCATGACCTCGGCATTGCTAGCGACATGCTCTACCATTTAAACTATAGAAGCTCATCTAACATACATTAAGGACACAAAAATGAGGCTGGAATGAGGACACACACAGCAGACCATAGATGAATGTTAGATAAATGTTAGCTGGATGTTAGGTGAATGCTAGATGAACATTAAGTGAATATTAGTACATTTTATGGTGAGTAGGATTTGTGGTGGTAATATAATGAAGAACTTCTCTAATGTAATTCATTAAGAAATCCCACACACACATTCACACTTGGTTGGCACAGAACATGAGGGTGTAATTATAAACAATAAAAGACTAATTTAACACCGCCTCTCTCTCACACACACACTGACTGCTTTGTTCTGTACTCAGAACAGTGTAAATGCGGTAAATTGCTCATGACCCATAAGAATCCATTTCATTTATGGCAACATTTACATTGAGTTCCCTGCTCTCGTAACGCTCAGTCAAACAGATGAATGCTGTCCCAGGCATTCTCAATCAAGAGCCGATCCACACAGAGATTTCCATTAACTCTAATGAAGGAGAACAGCATGCTGGGATTGATTGACACAGCTTGCCAGTCATGTTGCCGTGGAGACAGAGGTGTTGAAGGATGTGTGGAGCTAGCCCAGTTCATTAATACGCACGCACACTTCACTGCCTAAAACAACATCAGTGTCACAGGAATGTCCCATTTGTTTGCTAAACAGATTATGGCATTAAAGGTCTGATACGAATTCATTAACGGTATGAGATTTATAACAGCCGATGATGTTAACGTTGACACACAAGCACTCACAAAAAACGGTTAGTGATCAGGAAAGAGTGGAAATTTTTCCATTTATTCTCACCAGTCATCTCTCTGAGAGAAAAATTCCATGAAGAAATGATGGACGTGTTTGAAACACACCTGAACTGGATTTGATTCAGCTACAGAAACTCTTAGACTCAAAGACTCATTAAAGCAAACCACCCATCTTTATTCTGTTGCCTTTTGTTTTACAAAAAAGATATTTAGGCATAGTAAAAAAACAAAGGTTATCATGGGGGTTTTTGAAAACTGGGAAAAAATTGGGGATGAAAAAGGACATTTAAGATGTTATTTAAAACAGTTACATAATCACTACCATTACAAAGCTAAACAACAAAAATAATTCCATACATTAAAGCTGAGTGAATGGAAAATTTAAAAAGAGAAATTTACATTAAGGAAAATACACATAATACCGCGTGTAACAGTTCATTGAAACTCTCTCCCTGGAAAAATTATTACAAATCAATACACAGAAGTGTTTCTGAAATGATCTTGAAGTGCAACTCATTCCTGACTTAAAGGGATAGTTTACCCAAAAATTTGTATTCCATCATCATTTACTCAATTGTTTCAAACCTGTATTACTTTATTTCTTCTGTGGAACAAAAGAGAAGTTATCTTAGGAATGTTTGAACTAGGATAGGGGAACTTGAATATGGTCCACAACAAATGATTTGCATTGCATGGAAGAAAAAAAAAATCTTATTTTGCGTTTCACAGAAGTAAAGTCATACATGTTGGGAACAACATGAGTAAATCATGAAATAATTTTTGGGTGAACTATCCCTTTATTAGGACTTTCTGCTCCATTTTATAGGCATAGAGGTTTAAATTGACCTAAATCCAGATCATCATATTGAGTTCACACTCAATCCAGATTCTAATGATCTGGATTTTAATTCGTTACATTAATACTAAAAAATTTCAGTCTAAAAACATTGATTTTTATACTCAGATACACACACACTCTTCTATCTTGCAGACATACATTTAGCCAATCGCAGTTCTTGCCTTAATTCATGATCTGCTCAAGTCATGACAGCTGTGATATGGTTGAACAGATGAATGGATGGGTGAACAGTCCAGATGGATGAACACATGGTGATGTTAGCATTGTTAGCTGATAATGTCAGTGTCAGAGGTGACATGCTCCTGCATGCAGTGATCTCAGGTTAGCAGTTAGTATTAGCCCAGGCCTGGAGGTCGTATATGTAACCGCTCCAGTCCTTGGACTTAGTCTTATCCTTCCTGGGAGCTCCCAGAGACCATGGGGCGTACATCCAGTGATCATGGGTGCACATACACAGCTCACACACTCACCCAGGGCTGCTCCAAGCTGTAGGCACGGTGGCGATCATCTGGCTCCGCATCTTCCTGCCTGACCTGCTGGAACTCCTGGCGTAAGCGCTGGATTCGGTCGTGGTTGCTGGGCGTCAGTCTGTTAGAAACAGGAGGAAGAGGGCACATGATGACACATTAGAACATTACATCATAATCCCTTTGATCCTATTCTCTCTGAAACAACAGGTGTTGGAAGTGTGACCCTGTCTAAAAGGTCATCTAGTTACGCTCCACTACCTTTATGAGAACAAAGGTCAAGGTGTCACACACGGTGAACAGATGGTCCAGATACCTACATGGGTAACAAACACGGTCTCTCTATGCTACTATGCTCCACAAGATCAGATCAGTAAAGCCCGCAGCAGAATTCACCAGACACGGACAAGTGGCAGCTTACATTACAGTATAGATGTGTGTGTGTGTGTGAGAAAGAACCAGACAGATTTACTCTTATTAAAATTTCATAATCACATGTTGAGTGTTTACGATATAGAGGACAGCAACTGGGGCTTTTTACACATGAGCAGATGTCCAGTTTAAAACACACAGACGCCATATAAACCTTGTCATAGAAGATGACTCAAGATGATTTAAGAATGCAGACTAATCAGAAAACATGCATGTGTTTCTAATATGAATATATATAGAAATGGCGCAGAACCATTTTTAAATTACTAATTACTAGTAATTTCACAAATAATTACAAAGAAGCTGCAAAGTAATCATGAAAGTTTTAAGTAGAAAGACTGAAATAGCATTTTCTTGTTAAATGCCAATAATTAGTTTTATTTACTACAACTTGTTTTATCTTCTATTATTGTATATATATATATATATATATA